AATATTACTTTAATTGACGATCATCATATTTTCAAAAAAGAACTTGTTCAAATTGTATACATTATATATTATTTAGCTGCAGATAGAGATATGTCTTTCGATCTTCATATATTATATTATTAAGTTGCAATTCAATAACTGCATCGAAAAAAATTTTTTGCATATTATTATAAATGTAAAATATTTTCTGTAAAAGTGTGAACATAAAATAAAATAATTTTTACGTTGAAATTTTGAATGTTGAAGTGAAAAATAAAAGTATTCCTTTTTAAAAATTAAAGTCAAAGCCATAATTGAAATCTTCGTTTAGTATATTCACTTAGAAATGATTTCGACTCATTGAATTGAGAATTGTTAAGAAACCAATGACGAATACTTTCTTGGAATTTTTCTGACAAACCAAATATTTCAAGTGATATAAGACAAGGCCATTGAGTTAATTGATTGAATATAGATAAGATTAATGATTCGGAAATCGTATCATTCATATTTATATAAAGATGTTTTAAACATTTGAATATTAAAGAAAGACGGGATATAGATGTTGTTATTTGTTCGATATGATCAGAATATATTATATAAATATCTGGCCTCGTAGTTGTCCTATTTTTCCTATATTTCCTATATTTTTGGAATCGGTCCTATAATGTCCTATTTTTTTTTAAATTTTCCTATATTCCTATATTTAAAAAAAATGAAGGTTTGTGCCAGAAAAGTTGTATATTTTGAAAATAATGACTATAGATTTATGTGTTTTCAATAATTTTTTTAACATGTAAAACGAATTATGTGGATAGTAGTGACAGGTATATAAGTACAATGTGTCTTATTCTTTCCATTCATTGTTTTGATGATTCACTTCTTGTATATGTACAACTATTAATAGTTGTCTTTTTTTCTTTGTGCTTTATCCAAAATTCTTTATTAGAAAGATTAATATTTTCTGCATAACGTATGTGGAGTTTAATTATGTTAAATATTGAAAATTATAACGAAAGTCGAAACTTTTACTATTAAAAGATATTTTAGATAATATTCAATTGATCAATTATGTGTTTTAATTTTTATTTCATCTCTTATAAAAATTTGGATTGTTTTTAATACCAGATTTAAATAAAAATTGTCCAAATATTCTTTCAAGTGGTTTTTATTTATTTTTTGATATTCCATTCTTATAATCATATTTAATTGTTATTATTTCTCTATTAAATAATAATGCCCAGAGATACAACATTTAATCCATGTTGGTTAAATCGAACAGATGATGATGGTATCGCGTTAAGTAAATGGTTAACGAATGGAAAAACAACAAAAATATTTAAATGTCTTTTGTGCAAAACAAATGATCTCGATTGCTCCAATAGAGGTTGGAGTGCAATTGAACAACATATGAAAACAAAAAGTCATGTAGGAAATATAAAATCATTAAAAAATAATTCAACATTTGTTATTGGACCTGCTTCAACATCAAATGAAGGTGTTATTCCAACATCACATCTTCGATTAGGTGCATTAAAACAACCACTCATTTTAGATTTTCAAGAACAAGTTACTAAAGCAGAAGCTGTATGGGCTTTAACAGTTGCACAACGTGCATTTTCTTTTAATTCGTGCAATGAAATTGGCGATGTATTTCGTACCATGTTTCCTGACTCTAAAATTGCAAAAGAATTTAATATGCAGGCGAAAAAGGTTTCGTATGTCCTATCATATGGTCTTGGTCCACATTTTCATCAAGAATTAGTTAAATCTTTAAAGAGAAATGATAAGTTTGTTTTATGTTTTGATGAACAGACAAATAATCAAAATCGTAAACAACTGGATTTGTTGGTCAGATACTGGTGTTTTGATCAAGGACGTGTTGTAACTCGATATTACAAAACAATTCTATTAGGACATGCAACAGCAATAGTGTTGAAAAATGCTATACTTGATGCACTTAAAACAGATGGTTTAGATTTAAAAAAATTGCTTATGTTAGGACGTGATAGTCCATATGTAAATTTGTCACTGGAAAATATGATTGAAGCTGAAATGGAAAAGATTGGTGGTGGTCTTTTAAAAATTGGTGGTTGTCATTTGCATGTGGTTCACAATGGATTTAAAGCTGGTAGACAGATATTATTCTATGACAAAAATAATTATTATTTTTCTTCTTTATAGGTTTATTATCAACTGATTGGCATGCACAAAATAAATGTATTGATCTTTATGTATGGTTCAAACGATCGCCAGCTCGTCAAGAAGATTTAGTTGATATTATTGAAGATTTTAATACATTAATGGAAAAAACATTATTATATTTTACTTCTACACGTTGGGTATTACTTGGTAAAGTAATTACACGTGTTTTAAGTGAGTAGATTGAGTTATATTATTTTATTTCTCTCAAAAAAATGATATTTTGTTATATGTAGCACTATGGGAACCTCTACAAGAATATTTTCTCGTACTTTTACCAACAAAAGAAAAAAAACAAATTCAAAAAAATGATCGTTATGATAGAATTAAACTTAGTTTAACCTCGTACACCATTAAAATTCAATTACAATTTGTATTGTTTTTATGTGAAACAATATTTGATCGTTTTCTTACATTTTTTCAACAAGAAGCACCACTTATACACCTTTTATATGTTGAATTATCAGCATTATATCGAGAGATTTTGGTTCAATTTTTGGTGCCTGATTATGTTGGTAATAAAACTGGTAATGAATTACTGAATTTAGATTTTAAATTGAAAGAAAAACAATTAAATAATAAGCAAATAAGAATAGGTAATATCAGCATCTACATTGAAATGATTATTTTTTTTTGTTTTTTGCGTTTTTTTAATTTTAGGAGAATCAACACGTAAATTGTTGATGAATATTACACAAAAAGAACGTGAAGATTTTTTTGAAGATGTACGGACTATCTATCATGCTATAGCACAATATTTTAAAAATAATTTACCATTAAATTGTTCATTTGTACGTGATATGCAAATTTTCAATCCTTCATTTAAATCTGCTGAATATACTCATGAATTAAGTCGTATTGCTAAAGCCATTCCAGGTTTTTTAACTGATACAGAAATTGATCATATACGAGATGAATGGATAAATTATTCACTAGAAAATATTGATCAAAAATGGTTTGTTGAAGGGAGACAGGACGATGGTTATGGAAACGAAAAAATTATTTTTCATCGGATTGATTTCTTTTGGAATCATGTTTTATCGATGAAAATGGTGGATGGACGACCCAAATTTCCAATATTAGGAAAGTTAATTAAAAATATTCTTATTATTCCTCATGGAAATGCTGATATAGAACGTGGTTTTTCAATTAATGAAAATATTGTTACATCCAATCGATCCAATTTGTCTAATACATCAATAAATGCTTTACGTTCAACATATGATGGTGTAAAATTTCTTGGTGATGGATCAAGTCATAAGGTACGCATTTATACTATATTTCTTTGATTTAATAAACATTATTCCTTAAATTTAGGTGTACGTAAACAAGGACATGATTAAAATGGTTCAGTCATCTCATTTGTTATATAAACAAGATTTAAACTCGAGAAAAGCAGCAGTCGAACAACTAGAAAAAAAAAATGAAGAGATGTTACAAGTCGACGAAGCGTGTAAAGAAATTTTAAAAGAAGAAGGAGAATTATTATCAAATCAAAAAGATTTACAACAACAACTTCAAGCTAGTCAAATAATTACTGAAGCTACAGAACGTTTACAAATAGCAATTAAAAAAAAAGATAATCTTGATATGGATAGAGCTTCTATATTAATTGATGGTGGTAATATGAGAAATAAATCAATTAATGAACAGTTAGTCAAAGTAACAGAAGATTTAATTAAAATTCAAAAGAAACGAAAAGATGCTTTTGATCAACTTCATAGATTAAAACGACAAAAATGTTCGACCAACTAATCAATTGATTATAGTTTTAATTTAAAACATATATTTGATCATTTCATTTTAATATTTGTACATAATTTTCAGATATATATAATGCATTTGAAAGTATTAAATAAATATTTAATAGGATATTTTGTATTATAGACTACAAAATATTTTTTTTCTAACATTATTCTAGTTCGTGTTTTTTTGTGACATTGATTCAGATTGTTTTTTTTGAAATAAATGATGTGATATGCATATACATATATATATAGAATTTTATTCAAAACTGATGTCCTATAAATTTCCTATATAGGAATAGGTGATCCTATATAAATGGCGCTTTAAAATCCTATATATTCCTATATGTTTACAAAGTGTCGCTACGAGGCCAGTAAATATATAAATTAGTAATTTGCTGTCCTAATAAATGACAAATCGATTGTTGATCGAGTAATGAATGAAGAGGTTTTGAATGTATATTTAAATCAAATAGATTAGGTGATGATTGAAGTAATTCTTGAAAAGATTTTATGTCAACTGATGATCGTAACAATAACAAATGAGTAAGATGAACAAGTTTACATAGATGAGTTTCTTTTCTCAATTCTTAAAAACAAGATAAAATGACATAGATTTCATTTTTCAATAACTTACTTAAAACAATGTCATCATCTCCACCATTGAAATCTAAACATTTAATTTTTTTACATTTTGTTAATATTGGAAATATTTCAGATATGATATGTGGTACTCCATATAAACGTAAAGATTGAATATTATGAAAATGATTATTGATAGAAGATATATTGGTAAAGAATCTGGTCGAAATTCCGATATGTGAAAAATGAATAGGTATACTATATAAAATGATATTATTTTGGTCATCATCTATAAGACAATCGAATTGTTGAGAAAATTGTTTCCATGTTGAAAGAATTTCTTTTTGATTAATAGAAGAATCTGATATATATTTAACTAAATAATTAAATTGTTTTAAATGAAAAGATGATAAAAAAGAATTAAAATAATTTCCATCAATTAAATGTAAATCATCTGTATTATCAATTTTAATTGAAAGTTTTTCAATATTTTTTGTTCGATTTAGTATAGATGTAAGTTCATTAAAATTAAATGAATATCCTAATGATATTAAATTTAATTCAATAAGACTTTCAACAGGAGAATATTCTTTTGTATGGTTAAATTCCGATGATTCATACTGAAGACCAACATGAAATATTTCAATTTGTGGTAAACGAGTTAATAAATGATGAAGATCGTGTAATCTTTCAAGAAAAATTTCTAATTTTTTTAAATTTGAATATAATAAATGATTATTTTGATCAATAACTGTTAAAGGTATCGATTCATGATCATAACAAATTGTATTTAATCGAGAATTATTAGCGGAAAATATTTTATTTAATAATATTTGTATTCCATCTGTATCGATATTGTTTCGATTTAAAGAATAAATATTCAATTGAATTAGATCTTTCAAATTATTTAAATTATCAATAAATGATGACAATACATCCGTAGTCACTTCTAGAAGTGTTAAACATTTCAACTTTGGAAAGATTAAAGAAATTCGTCCATCAAAATATTCAAGAAATATTTTTGATAATTTTTCTATTGACCGATCACTTACAATTAATGAACATACATTATATCCTATTTGAGGAATAATTGATGAACAGATATATCTGAATCGTTTATATGAAACGTCTCCTAAAAATAAATGACAATAGATTTCACTAATTGTTTCATTTAATCGAGTGTTTAATCCATAAAATGAAAAAAGAATATCGATTGATGATAAATAACGATAGATTAATAGAAGAATTTCATCAGGCAAGTTTTCTAAACTGATTATCGAGGAACTAGTCGACCGGATCATCTAAAATCAAACATACAATAGCTTGGGGTACTTCTACACGACTTACTCAACTACGTTTCAAATCAATACAAGGTCAAACTAAGCAACAAAATTACCATTGGGAGTGAAGAACACATCTCTTTGATTTGATGCAATGAGAGATGTCTCTATCGTCCGTGAACAACTTTTATCAGAGTATACAAAATACTTCTTCATAATTGAAAAAGTATACCTAACCAACTTGTACAAGCAGTTAAGCTAATGTTATAACTAGAAATAGATAGAATCATAATAAAATTAGTTTGATAAACTTGAGGATATAGGTGTGGATCACATTCCTCAATAAATCCACACCTTTGAATCGTGATTACTGTTGAGTTTATGGTGGAAAGTAACATGTAGTATTCATAGAATTTGATCATGGAAGAATTCAATCAATAGAATTCTATTTAACAAAACAAAGCAGTCTATTTACAAGACAGAAATCCTTACTCAAATTAAAAGACATTTAATGAAAGAACATGAAAAAAGTATATTATTAATCTAAGGTTGCTTGCTTAAATGAACAATTCAAAAACACATCAATAATACAAATAGCAAGAATAAGTCAATGTTCATCTTTTTATATTGACAATCATCCTGATTAATCTAATTATTTAATATTTTTTTGTGGTGTTGTTATGTTTCTGCTGATTTTTTCTCAAGTTTACTAACAGTAACGTTGCGGTATCGTTTAGTTTGATCGTTCACTACTGTAGATTTGTTTGCCGAACGATTTGTTAATGTTAATTGATTTGAATTGGCCGTAGTTACGCTAACAGAACCGAAATTTCTTGATCGTATTATATTAGGTTCTAAATTTCGATAAGTTTGATCATTTCGAACAGTCTGTTCTAGTGATGCTACACTTCTCCTTGGTAGTTTAATAACATGGACTTGCGTTGTCTTAGTTAAGTTTGAATATTCATTCGCAGAATTAAGTTCATCAGTATTTTGAGAGTTTTTCTTTTGGATGGTATTCTCGTGTTCTTGAAAATTTTTGTCTCGTTTCACTCGAGAAACAGTTGCAGAAAATTGTCGATTGATCGGAACATCATCATTGATTTCTTGCTGTGGAACTTTAATATTTGAATTTCCAGTTCGAACTGGTAGATCTTGTTGATGCACTCTGGACACACGTATATTAGTTTGGTTTTGATCATTGTTTGTAAATGCTGCAAGACTATCTCTCGTTATATCAAGTGAATTTGATAATAAATCTCTTTGATCAATTGATGAAATCCGATTGAAATTCTTTGTGAATTGATTGATTCGATTTTTTGGCAAATCTATTGTTCCTTTATGTTTATCATAGAAGACAAAGTAATTATGTCGTTGTTGGTTTCCTCTATTATCAGTGTTTTTTTTTCGACGACGTCGAGCAGCCCTACCCCTAGACACATAAATCATTAAAAAAACCTTTGTTTACAATATGAAGATTAGATTTGTTTTTTTTTAATCGAACTTCTATTAAAATTGCCTACTGACTTACCATAAACAATAATATAAACAACACAAACAACAACATAGCACAAGAAGAAGACCCAATAATGACAAACCAAAAATCAGCAACCAATGAATACCTTTGTCTGAATATAGTTCGACAATCTCAAATACAAAAGAAAAAAAACGAAATTATTGAACTTACTGGGCGGTTTTGTTGTTGTTGCCGTAGTTCTAAACATGAGGAATACGATAAAGATTATTTTTTTCTGAGTTCAACAAGTTCCAAGGGAAAATATTTCAAGGATGAATTGGAGATTTCGAAGTATTTCTCTGCATATCAGTACATTTTCGATTACGACAAGACTATTTTTCGACAATAAGATTTTGTCATAAAACTTGACTTGACACTCTCGAGTTGAATTGTTTTTGAAGGCGAGAGACTTTAGCCTCGTTTTATAAAAGTTAACTATCATCATGAAATAGACTTGACTAATCGAAAAAAATCGAACTCAACAATTTCGATAAATCACTTATAGTTTCGAATCCTTGGATCCTCCAATCTTTCAGCCAAGGTTTTTAAAAAATCCTTATTTTCGAAACATTGTGTTGTTCTGATTGAAAAAAATATCAAATTGGAATTTTATCGCTATCTCAAAGGATAACTACATCAACATTTATTGACGATCAATTAAAGTTGGTTGCTCTCGTCAATTAATAAGAAACCAGAAATGAATAAGATGGATACATTTAACTTACGTAGTTGTTGTCGTGGCTGTTGTTGATGTGGTTGTGCTTGTTGTTGTTGATGATGATGTGGTTGTGGTACTGGTAGAGGTGGTTGATGTTGATGTCGAAGTGGTTGTAGACGTTGATGTACTTGTTGTTGTTGAAGAAGATGTCGTAGAAGTTGTTGTTGATGTTGTCGAGCTGGTCGACGATGTTGAAGTTGTAGTCGAAGTGGTTGTTTCAGTTGTTGTGGTTGTTGATGTCGAAGTTGATGTCGTTGTGGTGCAGGCAGGACCAGATAATACGTCAAAAACAACACAATATTCTTCCGATTGAACACGTTCACTATTTAATCAAAAGACAAAAACAAAAAGTAAAAAGAAAAAGAGGAATGAAATCTAAAGATGAACCTTGTGAAAGCAATGGCACAAAATTGTTGCGGACCGTATTGATTGGATTGTGGTGTCCAAGTGTAAATAACCCAAGCATATGATTGATCTGATGCTTGTGTCAAATTGCCTGCTTTCATCCCTGGAATCGATTTTGATACAACAATGTCAGCAATTCGAGACTCTTCCGGATCACAGTCATTCGTAGCATAGAGCACAAAATTCATTGGAACACCGATTTGTGCTTCTAGACAATCAACTGAAAGAGTAAATTCTGGTATTGATGAACATTGTGGTGTAGGAAGAACATAAATCAAAAATTGCACCGGTACTGAACTCATCGATTGATTACTTGTTGAATTAATAAAGTCTTCAACCTATCAATAACATGAAAAAACAATGATGCTATTATGCAATGAAAAAAAAGCCTTAACCATTCAGTTAAATGGTCTTTAAGTTTTTCCAACCCAGTGTTGCAATTTGACAACATTGAGCCAATGTTTTATTATCCTAACACATTTGAGGGCACAGTCATGTATTCACAAAAAAACACTTTCCACTAAGAGAATGGTTGGATCCATTATTGGTAATACTTCACGGTGGTTAATTTTGCTGTGTAGATCTATTGTTTAATGCATCACTAAGTAGTATTATTTCACTTTTCCTCATCCGCACCTATACTAAAAATACGAAAATCTGCCAGAAGTTTCTAGTACCACGCAAGATCAACTGAAAATTTATTGAGATTTAAAGTATGTATGACTTCGGATATTGAAGATTAATATTGCACATTGATAGCCAACAACAAAAAACTGAATTTTGCCAAATTTTGATTGATAGTGGCCTGGTGTTGTCAAATGGCAACATCAAACCTTGGCATACCAAAGCACTTTTTTTGTTTCGAAAAATAAACTTTTCCTATACTCATAATGCGAGCAACAAATATGCAGGAAAATATTTTTTGCTAGCTGGCTTCTGATAGATGACCAGAAAGGATTAGAAATCATTAGTAATCTTCTACTGAAAATGACACTCGCTTCTTTAGCACAAGCTTTTCAGGTTCTCATCACGGCGAAAAACAAGTTTTAAAATATGTCAGACATCGAAGCTTATTGTAATGTACACTAATCAGATCGAATATTGACTTGTAAATCTTCTATAGAAGTTACACTCAAATATAAAATAACATATAAGAATTTTAAAAAAAAATTTTCAATGAAGACTATAAATGAATACCTGAATGGCGACTGCATACCAAGCTCCAGCTACAAGTCCTGTAAATTCCACTGTGCAATTAGATAATGTTGTCCTATTGGGTGTACTGCTTGGATAACAGATTCCACCACATTCATCGATTGCTTGACGAGCGGGAAAGGATGAAGTCGATTTTTTTGTTCGTTTATTCATAAATTCTTCTTATGTGAAGATAAGTCTATCAGGAAAGAGTACTATTCAGACGATGACAAGATATTTAAATAAATCCTGTTCCAGGCGTTTCACTAGTAGTTGAAACACTCGTTGTTGAAAGACCCGTCGTTGTTATTTTAGTAGTTTTTGTCGTAGTTGCCGTACTAGGACAATAATATTGATCTTCGGATGGCTTGCATTTGTCTCCCGAGCAGGTAGTTCCTTTACAAATATTACAACTGCATTTACAATCTTTCTTACATCTCGATTTGCAATCATCATCATCACAACCTTTGGTTTCTCTTCTTCTTCTTCTTAGTTGAACAATTTCATCATCTATAAGATCTCTTTTATAATACATATCTATTTCATTTTGATCTTCTCGTCGTCGTCTTCGATATCCTTGTTGATAAACTGACCATCGACAACGAACATCATCACCTGCATTTGCATCGGAGGTGGGAATTTTGATTTGTGTCGTCCTGTTGACAATGACATATTGAGGAGAAACAACAGTTGCGACTGGTGGTGTATTAATAAAACCATCTGGTCGTTTTATTAAATCAATCGAACATACAATCGACCAATCAAGACCACTCTTAGCTGGGGAACCTAGAGCACGCCAAGCAGATCCTTGATAAGCAATTGAAAAATGTGCTCCAGCTGATAATGTGATATTGCTCTTTCTTTCACTTGTCATCATTCCTAACGATGAACTGGACGATATACAATCAGTAAGTATATTAATTGGTTTTGAAGAATAACCACCATCTGATCCGCAATCAACAACACATGTTAAATTATCGTTTTCTCCACTTCGACCACTAGTTGTTATCGGAACATCATTTGCACATTTGATTGTTGGAAAACCCCATGAATAACTTTGAGTTATTGTTATACGCACGAAACTGGAGTTATCGTAAGGATCTATAGGTGCCCATCTGATACTGCCGCCATTAAAGTGAATACAATCGATAAGAGATAAGTATAATAAAAATAATAGAATGACGGCAACTATATTCTTTTTGTTCCCTTTAAATGAAAAATTTAAAAAAAAACAAATCGTTCATTTTCAGCTCACAAAGAAAGTCAGTACGATTAAAAATGAGATATTAGTCGATAGACACGAACTCCAATCCGAGTGAAAGATCATCAACAGTCCTCCTAAAAATTTGTCTCTAATTATGATAAGAAAAAAATGCTCTATGTTTATTAATACGATGCAACGCGCAGTCTTTATGTTATCCTTCGCGAGTTTTCTTGGTTTCTTACTTTCTCGACGTGTGCGCATCAAAAGTTCTCATCTTCTGTAGCGATGATCGCGAGAACAGAAAATCAGCAAATATTCGTTCAAACGCAATGATAAAGTTTCATGACTAAATCGATATTATCCGTTTTCCTATCTTTTTTCAATATTTGAGATATTTTAAATGGAAATTGCAAGAAAAGTTAGTCATCACTTTGTGAACAATTGATTTTACACAGACTAGCTGATGATAGATAATCAATCAATCAGCACTGCTCTTTAAAATCAAGTTGACATGCATCGATAGAGTTCTCGCAGTGATGAATGTCTACTTTTCAGCTGTAGTTAGTGAATCAAATTTAATATTTTTCATTTTCTTAATCAGAAAAGAAGACTAATTTTTAACAGGCTAGAAATATTTTTTCGAGAAGTATTTCATACTCAATCATAGAAATGATTATTCGTTCTTTACAAATTATCGATGTATTGATAATCAACATTCGAAATAGCTTCGCATCACATTTTGTAATGAAGTTTTAAACAAACTATTTCTCAGAAAATCTCTTAATATACAAGAATTTTCTCGATGAATTGACGTGTTTTATCCATTGGATTATTAAAATGAGAGAAATAAACTTGTCTGTATGACAAACTTAAACATACCTTGAAGAACGATCATATTCGTCACCTGATGAATGGTTCTGTAGTAGTGTTATTTGTTTCAAGTGTATGTATGAGCTAAAATGATTGTTCTCTTTCAAATTAATTTGTTCGATGCAAATAAAGAAATCTTATTAAAAGAATATCTAAGAATTCTTTTTGATTAGAATTACTATATAAAACAAAATCTAAAAAACATCCAAGACTCCGTCTTTTTCTAATTTATTTGCAACAATGAAAAAAAAAATGAAAGAACGAAAAAAAAAATTATTATCGAAGATTTATTTGTAATATACAAAAGAGATTTAAAAAAACACAATGTTTTTACTTTCATTACGAAGATGTTTATTATTCCACTTTGACGTATGGAAGCGTTTATCATACAGTTATCTGGATAGTAGTTATAAGAAAATAATGGATTCGACATTGAAGAGTAGGTTGTTTTTGAGAATTTACTTTTTCTAAACACAAATATGATCTCCTTCATACATTAATATGAACCCAGATACATTGCAGCAAATCTGTTTTATGCCATCGAGTTATTTTCAGAAGATTTTTTTTCTATTCTTTCGCAATTTAATATTCTAAAGCATTGTTAAATCAATAAAAAGAGTCCTTTTAAAGTATTGGCAGACAGTAATCTATTTTAGTTCTTGCAATATAAATATTTTTTTCTCGAACATTCATAGGTGAATCACTTAGAAAAACTCTATTGATTTTCTATTGTTGTTTATTTCGATTGTTTCAGTCAAATGAAATAAAATCAATCTCTGTTATGAACGAAGTATTAGTCAAACTGCATAAAAGAGTGCCATCATTTTATATGCATGTCGTATAGCATTTCATTGTCTATTCTGTATTCTCAAACTGGCTTTTTTTACTGATTTTTTCTGATTATTTTAGAGCATAATCAAAATACGAAGTTGCTACACGTTTTTATCAATGGTGACTGATGACGTATGACTTTTGTTTATCGAAAAATTGAGTACGATTTTTTTGTCTGCTATGATAATAATAGATTGTTGACAAGGATAATCTATCATGATGACGAAGGTAATGTGCTATTTTTACAACACAGAAAGAGAAAAAAATCAGTGGATAACTGGTTATATATATATATATAAATACGTGCATTTATGAGTCATTATCCATACACGACAATAACGACCATGAACGAAGATAAGCAGCAGAACTTTCCACTTACCAGTCGTTTGCGTTGGGCTCTGAAACACAATTTTGGCGGTCCAGTCTTGTGGCTACGTTCGTCAGATGAGAATAATTAACATGATAGTGTGCAGGACACTATTCAAAATCTTGTCGATCCGGAAAACTTCAAACTGATTGCCGACGAACCCTTGTGTCATACTTATCTCAATGAGTAGAGCACCTGCTATTTTATCGTTCTTCAAGCAACAGTCAGTGAAATACTTCGTCAGGAAGCCGATCATGTATACTAAACAAATCGAAGGTCATTGACATTGATGAAGAACGTCCAATGTTGATGCGTATCCAAACTACACAAGATGTGCAAAATGAACAGCTTGTCCTAAAGGCGTGAGTCAATTCGCTTGTTAATTTGCTATAATAGTATCTCATAGATTGATGCACAAGAGTTTAAGTTTTAAATGTTTTAGTTGTCCGCTTAATCGTCGGAACTTGGATAGATGAAAGAGAGCTTACAAACATTTGGAAATTTGTCACTTTGATTTTTCATTTTCTGTGACACATTTCCTCGAATCGAAGGACGGTCTTTCATTCTTCTACGTGTTACTTTCCACAATTTATCGTCAGTGACACACAAAGACCGAATCAAAATGAATTGCGCTGGTTTGAACCTTTTTTGATTTCTAGTGCCACACAATATGGAAGCAGCCTAAAGCTCGCACATTTTAAAGAACTTTCATTATATCGATTGCACTAATCGAAAGAAAGAATTTTTTTCAAAGAAGTAAATGTATTTCATTGGATCCAAGTTTTTAAAAGAAATATTTCAACGATAGGGAAGAATCTTTGGATTTCTGTTACAAGGAATAATTTAGATCATTTTTTTAACTTTGTGATACATGTGTCTCATAAAAAGGATTTACTGAATAATCATTTCATACGGCAGCTGAGAAGGACTCGTTTACATACTTCAACTTGAAGCATAGTTCGGCACTGGGTTCCTGGGATGTTCACCTTAGAAAAACGCATTTTTTTGAAAAATCATACCGGCTAGATGTATACGTTCCAAAACAGCTCAGAAAATATTCTCTGCTAGTTTATTTGAAACGTGAAATCAAAATCTATTGTTCTTTAAGAGTATGTACTTAAAATATTTTCTCTAAAATGAAATCAATGAGTCATGAGCCACTGCTTAAAAGGATCGGAAATACAGTTTATATACTGTTCTATTCTATGTTTTGATTGAAAATTTCTCGGCTTAAAATATGAAAAATCTGTTCAAATATCAGCTTTGAAGAACTAAACTTTTTCTACACAATAACTTATCTGTAGTTCTTCTATCATCTCAAAAAAAGCACTAACTTTATGGGAATTCAAAAACAAGTCTCGATGACTTAGCAGGGTTTTGGTGTAGGTATGAGGTGTAGATTTTAGATATAAGTACACCCACACTCCAATTCTGAAAACTCAAGTAAGTCAAATTTCAAGATCTGACCGGATTTGAGTTGGTCGGATCTCCATCAGACCACTTCAGGGCAGTCCTTTCTCAATTCATGATCGAGATCGGCATGTTCTCGACTAGTAAATAGTCAAGAAATAATCTAGAAAAAATTAGTATGAAAAATTTTAATTCCTTATGTTTTATCAAATTGTTTATATAAAGCCGTGTGTGCAAAAGAAAACGGTGAATGAACAGTTGCTACATAGAACGCGACAAATCTAGGGTACTCTGTAGGGTTTTTTCTCAGTAAAATTACAGGTGCGGATACCCTCAAAGCACCCATATCGGGCACCTTGCTGAAGCTTTCTCAGTATATGGATACCCTTAGTTCAGTACATTCACTAGGGTTGTTTATCCTGTCTTATATGTTGCTTGTTGCTTTCGTTGCTTTGTGACCCAAACGGAATTCATAAAATGAAAGCACTCAGAGATCTCTGCGAAGTATCTTCATTTCTAATTCGAGTTCAACGTCTATATCCATAGTTTTGTTGTTGTTCAAAAAATATTCGTATCCCCTTTATATATCATTAGTATGGAAACGTTTAGAACTTTCTCGACTGTTCTAGGAAATTTTTAAAAAAGCAAAATTTTCTTGCCAACCTAATACGATTTTATATTAAACTCATTCGCCATCATACACTTCTATTGGTCTCTATAATAATATTCATATTTCCTCACATGCATGTAATGGTGTACGTCATTACATAACTGTTTTCAATTTTCTCGTATACACATGGTTGAAGTTATTTTGTTGCAACTATTATTACTGATGCAATAAAAAAAATGGTCACACTATTCGAATGTCTGCCGAATGAAATTTTACTTGAAATCTGTCTTTGGTTTCATCCGTTCGATTTAGTTCGTGCTTTTCAACATCTTAATACTCGTTTTGATGCTCTTCTGTCTGACTATCGGCTCTTTTGGGATATCAATATTGATTCCGATAGACTTGCTTCGAATTACACGAGATATATAATTATATATGGTAGGCAAGGTATAGTTAAAACACTGAGAGCAACAGTACAATGTCGCTGGTTGGATTTGTTAAATTTGGTTTGTCTCCGAAAATTAATAATACTGAGACCGACACATGAACAACAAGCTCGACTGCGAATATTAATAACAACGACCGAACATTTTGGTCAACTGAAGCATCTGACATTTATCACATCTGACGATGATGAATACATTTCACGAAGCATCTTGAATGGAGCATTTCCTCATTTGATTCGATGTCATTTACACAAGTGGCATCATGAACAAGTAATATTGATAAATATTATTCTTGAAATGATCAAAATCTTAAGTAATAGAGTATATATATATATATATATCGACGAAGGGCGAGCTCAAATATAAAATTAGAAGGTGATTCCAATTTAGTCAGTTAAGCAATGGAATGAAGGTATTAAGATTAAAAAATAACCTAAATGACGAGTTAAATCAAATGAATTTTTGGATGCATTTTGATTATTTAATATGTTGCTGCAACAAGAAGGAGTTATATATCTGAACAAAAATTTATTAAGAATTTTTTTTTATTGTATCAATATAGCAGATTAAATAACAATGGTGTAAAGCTTTAAAAACTAGACACAAGCAATAAATTAAACTTTTTCTTCTATAAATATGTAGATATTCTGACAAGAAACTCCATATATATTTTCTAAAACAAGAATAGATTAGTACAGAACGATTCCTATTCTTTGCTTCAGGAGTATATCATATTCGTATAGTATAGACTGATGAGATAAAATGCGACAGTATTTGAATGACAATTGATTTACATATCCGAGATATTCAGTGATAGTTTCTCTCTTTTGAACATATTGATGCTTTATGCAACAAACATTAACTTCTAGCAGTCCAAAACTTTAAAATTTAAAGATTTCTTTTCTCTTGTTTTTTTTTGAGCATTGGCTCATCAAGTATCGAACACTTCTTATGTAAATTCGAAGAAGTTAAAAAGAAAGTGTTTCATAGAGAAAAAGACTGAAATTAAGATTAGATTCAACAAACTATCACTCGACGTCGAAATAGTCCATTATTGTCATTATTGAATTCTTTTTCAGGATGCCATCTCTTCATTACTTCGATGTGATAGTCTTCAATCACTGACACTCAACATTTTGGCAAGTGTCAATATGATTATCAAGATTCTTATTAGTTTACCCAATTTGATTACTTTTCGTGTGCACAAATTTTTTGTGTCCCATAACAACACTAATATCCAGAACATTTCTTTTAAACATAATCACCTGAGATATTTCCATATTTCATTATCGAATTGGAATGGGTCTGGATTCTTTGGAAACTACTGCAAAATATTCGATTACATCTTACCACTTATGCCAAAATTAAAAACATTCTCCATTTATTTAGCGATGCAATGCAGTTCTATGAACACAGATTCAGCCATCGGTGTTCTACAGTTACTGACAACGGTTGCAGCACATCTACCCATTGATTGCTGTTTTCATTGTTGTTTTCCATGTGAAACAGCGGAAAATAAATCAATGTTCACATCATTTAGATCATATTGGAATTACCAAGCAAGTTGTTTCATATCAAGGATAGGCCGAGTACAAAATTCGCTTGCTCGAAATCGTCCAACTTTTCCCAAACTACAATGTCGTCGTATAAGCAAACGATGCGTAGAGGTATACACAAACTAATTTAATATCGCATTACTGAATATCTAGATCATTGGTTTTAATCAACAATGCTTTAGTTGAAAACTCACATTCTTTTGGCGAATTATTTTATGAGCTTATCGAAAATAAAAACATAGAATAAGTATTGAAATAGTATGAATAGGTGAAGAAATAATTTATCCACTTCGGAAATGATTTCTAGGAATGAATTGATAAAAATTAATTCATGACAAACGCTGTTACATGAAGAGGTTATTAACAACTTTCAAAAGTGTTGTGTACAAGGATAACACTTTGAAGGAGATAAATAATTATTGGATGAAATCTTTTTATATCTAATCTATATTAAATAATGTTCAGTCTCTGTGAGTGTGGGTGTGGGATGGGTATGGGGTATGGGTATACTTGCATATAAAGCCTACATCTCATACCTAAACCCACACCGCCACACCAACCCTAGTTTTCATTAAGGTAGGTAGATCTGTTTTCTAATTGATCAACGATATTAATTAAACAGACTTTCAGCATTTCAGATAGACATATTCATATCGGTGCGAAAGCGTCAGCTTATCAGGCATGTTCACCATTTCTAACTTCAACAAAACCATTGTTAAAACAATGAATAGAATCAAAATTTTTCATTGAGAAACTTTGACCATTTATTTTTCTTCTATTCTTCATCATAAATTGTTTTTCTCATTTCGACTGCGTACTCATCTATTACAGTCAGAGCAGGTAAATAATTTCTTTTCAAAAGAAAAAGAAAAAAAAAAGTCACATGTTTTATTTATGTTGGTTTTTTCCCCAATGACAAAAAAAAACTGTTTGTCAAATATTCTTCATAACTAAAAAATAATGACTGAGCAACAAATTAATCAAAGATTTATTTGTGTTTGGCTTGATAATCAACTCATTCGATCAGTCGAATATATTGATACTCAAGATGAACTTCGAACTCTTATTAAAACCTTTGTCACTTTCAAGGACTCGAATTACTGTGTAGATTTTATTACCAACATAACTGACACGAAAATATTTCTTATTACGTCAAATATATTAGGAAGAATTATTGTTCCTACAATTCATCCTTTCGAACAAATTGATTCAATTTATATATTTCATGGAAATAAACCATCAGATGATCAATGGACAAAAGATTATAAAAAAATAAAAGGAATTTTTAATGATATAACATTAATTTATGATCGATTTAAACAAGATATAATTAAAGAGGAAAAAAATAATGATTCTTTTGCAATTTCATTTATTTCATCTTCGGATATAAATTCACATGATGTTAATCGACAAGATCCATCATTTATGTATTTTCAATTATTAAAAGATATTATTTTAATAGATCGTCTTTTCGAATCAGAAGAACAAACTAAAGCAGATATGTTATCTTATTGTCGGAAAGTTTATGTTGATTGTCCAGATACAATTCTTGTTTTAGACGAATTTGAAAAAGATTTTATTCCCGAACTTTCCATCTATTGGTATATAAAAGAATGTTTTCTCTATAAAATGTTAAACAAAGCATTATATACACCACAACCAGATGTTCTTTATAAATTAAGATATTTTCTTCGTCATCTTTATTATCAAATTTTATCTGAAGCATCAAAACAACGTCAACATTTATCATCAATGACTGTTTATCGTGGTCAAACTATGTCACTCGATCAAATTGATAAACTCAAAGGAAATGTTGGTGGATTTCTTAGTTTTAATAATTTTTTATCAACTTCACTTAAACAAGATGTTGCACTGAATTTTCTTTGGGGATCAGAAAATGGTGTTTTATTTCAAATGGAAATCGATCCAAAAATACAAAAATTTCCATTTATTAATATTGAACAAATACCTTATTTACAAAGGGAGGAATGTGAACAAGAACTTCTTTTTGTAATGGGTAGTGTCTTTCGTATTGTTCGTATTGAAAAAGAGAAAGATTTTTATCGTGTTCAATTAACATTAAGTGGTGATATTGATGAACAATTAGAAAAATATACAAAAGTGACTCGTAATCAAACTCGTTCATTTCATTCATTCTTATCACTTCTAAGATTAATGCAAAAAGTAGAAGAGTACAGTTGTATTGATCAGTTTGCTGAGATGTTTCGTGATGATATTGGAGTAGCTGCTAATTCAACGATACTTGCTCATGTTCATCATGCATTTGGTTCAATTTATTATGATCGTGGGCAAAACAAAGAAGCTTTGGAACATTTTCAGCAAACGCTCAATATTCATATGAGTGATCTACCGGCTAATCATTCAGTATTATCACCAACATATTCGTATATTGGTGTTGTATATGACGCATTATATGATTATACGAAAGCGTTGGAATATCAACAGATGGCTTTGGATTGTCAGGTAAATTCAGATAGTCCAGATGTATCATCAATTATAACTTATATGAAAAATATCGCGTCAGTTTATGATAAACAAGAAAAATACAGTGAAGCTCTAGATTATTACAAACGTGCTCTCGAATTACAAATCGGACATTTTGGTGAAAATGATTCATCTGTTAGAAAAACTTATAGCTTAATTAGTTCAATTTACTACAAACAAGGTGATTATGAACAATCTAGTAAGCATCATAGATTCTCTCTTTCAATTAGTTTTATTCTCTTTTTTCTTTCTGTTCAGCTTCGTATCGCGAAAAAAGTGCTTCATTACAAAAAAGTATAACTGAACTAGATCCACCATCATTGGTTGACTCTTTAATAAAAGACGGCATTGTCTGTCTTTCACAAAAACAATATCAACAGGCATTGACTCATTTTAAACGTGCACTTGAAATTCAACAACAATACCTTTTACCGAACAATTCATCATTAGCTCAAACTTATAATCTTATCGCTAAAGCCTTTTATGATCAAGAACAATTTGAAGAGGCTTTACTTAATTACAATAAAGCATTAGAAATTGAACAAAATTCATTATCTGATGATCATCATTCTATTGCTACAAGTTATCATAATATTTCCACAGCTTATGTTGGTTTATCACTTTGGTCAAATGCTTTAGATTATGCTCTCAAAGCAGTTGAACAATCGAAGAAAACCCTTCAAACTGATGTTAACACTCTGGCAGCATTGGTTCATTATGTTGGATATATTTTTCAAGAACAAAAACAATATCAAGAAGCATTAATCTATTATCAAGAAGCTCTTGAATTATATCAAACTCATTTATCAGAAGATGATCCTTCATTATTTATTGTCTATCATCGAACTGCTAGAGTTTATTATCAATTGGATATGAATAGTGAAGCTGTTGTTCTCTATCAAAAGACACTTATCATTGCCTTGAAAATATTACCGGATAATGACAAACAAATTGGTTATATTTATATGGATCTTTCTAGATCTTTCTTAAGACTAAAACAGTATGATGAATCATTGATATCAGCTGAACAAGCAATTGAACAATTATGTAAAACATTACCAAATAATCATTCAGATGTTATCCAATATCGATTTGAATTAAGTGTTATCAAACAGAGACAATTATCTAAAAAGGATTTTAATTGAAATTGATCATTGTCTTTTTTCAGATTAAATTGTTTTCTAATTGAATTTTTTTGTTGCTAAACAAGGGTGTGGGCACGAAAGTAGAGAAGAGAAGCACCCACAGCCGCACCCAAACAAAAAAGATATGTGTGGACTATCTCTATTTACTTATTTGACACCTTTCCATCAAATCATTGCATACAATCTTCAGTCATTTTCTAGCACATGAGATTCTTCTTAGCTTTTCTGATATCAATTCACATCTTGATGCTGCATTAGTCTCATACACCAGCTATCGACTTGATTTAACATCAATTCTGAAGATTCATTTTGATTTTATCTGTCGTCATATTTGATCAGATTAAATCATCTCTCTTACACTATCCGATGATGGTGATGATGATGATACACCTTGTCAAATTGAACTTTTTCTTTCATACTTCTAAATTGAGCAATTAGCAAATTTGCAATCGTTACAGTTATCCGATGTTGACATCGATTGGTCGAATCTTATAATTCAAAACTTATATCAACTTGAAAAACTTCATTCTCTTTCATTGATTACGTGCGAAACTAGTAAATTTACTGAGTACGAGTATATACGTAGCGATAATATGACAAAGATCGGAGGAAATAATCCATTAAATCTGATAATTTTGAAGTGTTCTAGCATTATCAATTGACACAATGGAACTATTTCTCTCGAAGATGCCACGTCTTCAACATTTAATGTTAAGTGGAAGAGTTCTTCCTGATGTAACCGATGGACGCCAATGGGAAATATTGGCAATGGATCTTATTACGTTTAATTTCAATTTTAAACTTGAACTTGATCGAATTGATAACATTATCAAATCGTTTTGTACTAGTTTTTGGATAGAAAAAAAAACATGGATTTGTCACTTATACAGAGCATTGTATTTTCTCGGTACCTTAACTTGACGATACATATATTACTTTTCCGTTCTATCCACCTGTACATTCGACAGCGCCTAATGATGCAATTTTTTGTTAAAAAATTAATCATCATGTACTCGCTGAATCGACAGAAGAATGTCAATACCATTATCCTCATATTAAGACATTGAAACTTGAATGTCATTGTTCACTCGAAACTATTCAAACAATGATTGATCTAAATCGAATGTAACACTTGATTCTAGATTCATCAATGGATCAGTCATTCTTTATGCTGATTTCAGGTATGATGCCTTGTCTCTATAAAATATCATTGAAAGAAGATATGACAAACTTTCTTCAAAATACACGAAACATACCATCAATTGAACAGATTCAATCGCTTGATATATGTAGCTGTGGTAAGTTTGAGAATGTTCATGGATCGTTTGATCGATAGTTTTAAACATTTGTCGAGCGCATCTTTCTGCCTGTCGACTTTTCTGAATTATAATTTGATAAGTCGTTTGATGCGTAAGCCAACTGCAGTCTTTATTGGTTCACGTCGATTAGTGGATGGTACATTTGTATGTCGAATTATTGGGTGTAATTATAATGGGTCGCTTTTTGTTCGAATATTGACGTTTAGACAGGAGAACAGGTAAGCCATTGACAACAACACTCTGGTTATCTTCTTCTTTCGTTGATCTTTATAGTCAATGTGATCTATTGAGTTCATTCCTCGAATACCGTGTCAAGGATAGGTGTGTAGGATAAAGAGAAACTAACACCCACATACTATATCCACACCCCACATTCATACTCATACCTCGCACTGCAGTTTTTTTTTCATCTTAGCGAAAAAGTCGAGTCCTTCGAAGCAAAGTACAACCAATGGATATTTGACCTGCTTGTGCACACATTCGAACAATAGAAAAAAAGAAGCATCGACACTACCTAGGTGGGTGTGGGTGTGAGTGTAAATCTTGTCCTAGCCTACACCTACACCAACACACCTACACCCACCCATACCCTCAAGATTATTCTGTTCGAAATGATTGTATCATTTAATAACTTGTTCAAGACTATGATAAGAACAATAAAGCAATGCTAGTTTTCAAAAATCACCAACTTCGATCAATATTGAATTTTTGCACTCGATGATTTCCATACTCACTCACATAGAGACTGCCCTCCCGGTCAAAGCACAAACCAATTGGACCAGAGAGTTGATTTGTTTGACGTCCTTGACCATTTCCACCGACGATAACACTTCCCTGTGTGGCTCCTTGACACCAACTCATTATTCGATGATTCGAACAGTCAGCTACATAGAGAGTACCAGATCGATCCACGACAATTCCAAGAGGATTTGATAATTGTGTAAGATTATTTCCTTGACCTTGACTACCAGTCATAACAATGCCCTCTTTCGCATCTTTCATCCACTTCATCACACGATGATTACTAGAATCCGATACGTATACTGAATGTTCTTGATCGACAAATACGTATTTCGGATCATATAACTGGTCCAGACGATTTCCTGGCCCATTTCCACCTGCAACCAATACTCCTTGATCTTCTCCCATTTTGTATCGTCTAACTTCATGTCTATCTTTATCAACAACATAGAGAAATCCATCATCGTCCATCGTCAATCCCCAACATCCAATATCATCGATGATCGTTTCTCCAATTTTACCATCTTGACGATCCCATCGAACTACTCTTCTGTTGGTATAATCGCAAACGATAAGACTATCTCTTTCTTTATCAATAATTATATCTGCCGGATAGTGCAACTGATCAAGAAGATTTCCAGATCCATTTCCACCAGCCACAACTCGACCAGTCATCGCACCGTATTTCCATTCCACAATACGATGATTGTAGCAGTCAGCAATATAGACAGTTTGATAATTATCAACACACAAACTCCATGGATGGTTGAATTGATTGATTCCACCACCTTGTACATTTCCTCCAGCGACAGTGACACCGTCCTGTATCCATTTCACATTCGCATTCAGATTTTCATTGTGAAGACTTGGTACTACAAATAAAACACAATTTCATCCATAGCCAATGTGTCAATGTATGTGGATGAAAATCGATACTTGAAATGAAGAACTTTGATCAAGAAAGGATGAGAGAGACATAAAAATTTTACTCAGTGATTATATTGAGCAATGTCTCAATGTGAATTTTGTTGTTTTGATATTTTGAACGAAGAAAAATCTGAGACTTTTTTTGTATGATTGATATTCGAATCTTCAGATTAAAGATTGGATTTTCTCTTCATCTCACTTTCATCGAAAGACTTTTCGTCTTTAAGAGCAGGTTCAATAACAACATGTTATGATTGATCATCAATATCAATAAAGAAAACTTGACAGCATTTATTTTTTCAAATAATAATTGTTGAAAATAGTTCTAGACGATAGAAATGATTATTAGATTTTGATCGAAATCAATCTGTTACTCTAAATACTTTCTAGACCATGATATTATCAAATAGATTCAATAGAATTTTTCTCTTCAACTATTTTTTCAATAAAAACAACCAATTGAGTATCACTAATATTTTCGTGAAAATGAATTTCAAGTTAAGAACTACGAATACAATTTCAATGATGAAATAAGAAATATTTGAAGAACAAACAATGAGCACTTTAAGAAACACTTGATGAAGTTTCATTTAGTTCGGTTTTCATAAAATCAATCAGATGAATATTCTAAATATAAAAAAATAGTTCAGAAAAACCTAATCAAGTCTCTCTTATCATTTAGAATTTTAAAGATGTGACAAAATTTTTGAAATACTTTATATAATTATTTATTTTCAAAAAAAAGTCAAAATTAATGATTCATTAGAACACAGAAAAGTTCACGAGAAAATCGTGATATAATTTATTTCTTTACTCTTCATCGGATGTCAGTCGACAATTTCTTCATCATTTCCTTCTTTTTTTTCTTTAACTTATTGTGACTTTTGACACAAAGAAAATTTGACGTTTTGTATTCAACTATCGAAAGTCTTGATTCAACAATATTCAACAAGTATCGATTAGTTCTTCATTGGAGATCAAATAATCGTTTCTTTTCAATGAATATCAACTGTCAAATTATGTTACTGTTGAGAATCATTTTAAAAAAATTCAAAAGGTCTCAGATTATCTTGTGATTTTCTTCGGATTTTTTCTGCATTCAATAAGAATTGACTAAAATTCAATAAAGCTGGAAAGAATCATTGCTCGAGCTATTCTAAATAGTGACGGAATAATCATTTGCATCTCCCAATGATATTTAACTTAGAAATTCAAAAACGATCTTACAAATATTCGACAATTTGAAAAGACTCTTGAAATGTAAATCCGTGTCATTAGTATTTCATTCGACTCTGAACTCATTGTGTCTATCTTCACTCTCAGAATCGAGTGCATTGACAATTTATCGCCAAAGATACAATCCTCATGTAGCTCATCAGATGAGGCATTTTTCGATTAATACAAAAAAATATCTTCAACTTTGGAAATATTTATTGACTACACAAGAATTCATCAACTGTTTAATTAAATAGCTGCGTTTGATAGTAAAAACAAAAGATGAATATAATGTGAAATACCAAAAAAAGAAATTTTTAATAATTCAATGTTCTAAAAAGTGATTGATAGATACAACAAGTGAACAGATGAAGAGAAATCGAATGACTCAGCAATGTGCGATGTGCATTGAAGTAGATTAAATGAGATGGAAGTACAGTCGTTTGAAAGAGATATTTACTTATGTAAAATCTTTTAAATAGAGGTGATTGAACTTATCGCTCGCAGAAACATAGTGGAGAGTGGACTTTCAAACATCAATAATAGATTCATCGATCGTTGTTTTCGTTTTGTTCGGTTACATATAGAAAAATGACAAATGAACAAATCATTTTTATATTTCAAAAATTCATATGTCCTTTTTTTCTCATTCGCTTTTAGAAAACAAATTCATCATGTGAATATTTTAAAGAAAGAAAATATCATTATGATTAAATCATACTAAAGTAGATAAACGAATGGCACTGAAGATTATGTCACATGTTTCATGATTTTTTCCGTTGTCTTGAGGTATTTGAATCTTAATACTGAATCGATTTTTGAAAGCTATTTGTTTATCGTATGAAAATGATCAGCAATCGAATATCGATTGATTCTAGTTTTTTCATGCTTTGAAAGAGAAAGTCGAATATCGGCGAAGTTAATCTACTCTTCAATACAGATGTACAAGAATTCCTCAAGACATATGAGTGTCTCGCATGGTGAGTAACTGTACTTAATCTCATATCCGACTCGAATTCATAATTCAACAGGTTTTGCAAAATCTGTTATAATAAACCCATTCTTCGACCATATATTTCTTTATATTTCGTTTAAAATCGAGTTATTTCGCTTTGGTATTGGGGAAATATGAAAGCTTTGTTGAATATTCAATTCTTGTAAATCACTATTCTTAGATCATGAAGAAGCTGAAGAAATATAATTAAGTGGTTTGAGAAATAGTTTTCAGAAATTTCGAAGTAATTATGTTCTGTAAATGTCAAGAGTTATTTCTCTCTCAACAGTAAAGATTGTAAAAGAAAAACTTGGCATTACATGTTTCATTTCAATAGACTTTAACAATAAAATTATGTAACGGAAGAAGTTTGACGATGATTTGCAATTTGAATGGTTGAAATTTCTTTTGGATCATCACAGAATACGAGATGAGGAAAACTCTTTGGAATATTTTCATTTCAGCTAGAAAAGATGACTTACTTTTTATTGTAAGACGAAGTTTTTCGATGAAAGATGTTGAATCTTGTTCAATTTCGAAGTTGAATGGATTGTTGAGAGTGTCTCTCAATTGTGTGAGTTTTTCATTGAAAAATTGAATATCTGTGTCGATAAAATCATCCTCTCTACGACATTGATCGAGTTTTTCGGCCAATTGTTTTAATTTAGAATTGAGATCTGTAATCAATATATTGCCATACGATGAAAGTTCATGACGAACTTCATTGGCTACTTGTCGAATCTTTTCGATCGAATCACTTTCCCACCTATTAATTTTTATTAATTCATGTTTTTGTAGCTCAGATTTTTGTTCATCGATTTCAATTCTGAGCTCATTAAATTGATCTTCAATCGTAACTAATTGTTCGCTCAGCTCATTATGATGTTCATTGATATGATTTAGACAAAAAGCTTGAGAACATCCATGACATGTTAGTGTGTTTTTTGGTTTTTTGCATTTAACACAAGGAATTTTGTCTGTTGTTGTCGCCATATGAAGATTTACTCTAAAAAAAAATGATAAGAATCTATGACATTATGATAACATCACTACCCGAATTTCTTTCTTGTTTTGTCAATAAAAGAACTGTCACCACCAACGTGTCTCTTTGTGTATTCATATTTCGTCGTAAGAAATTTCATATACACTCACAATCAAAGTCTCAAAACTGTGGATCAAAGTAAAGAGAGTTCGTTCGTTTTATTGTGGGGTGTAGATGTGGCACAAAAGACTACATCGATGCCTACACAACCACACCCATACCTTGAATAGTTTTGTGGTGTCATCGTCAATGATTAATCACACTTGAAAACTAAGCAAAAGCAGCCAATGTGACTCTTACAGACAGATTGATCATGTTTCGATACCTGTAACTAATCTATCGACGAACTCAACTAGTGTTGTAATTAAACTAAAGTGCCTAAGATTATTGAAACAAGTGAAAATATTTTTTTCGTATAATTTTGAGCTTTATTTTATATTAGAAACTCCGTCCTACGACGCTAGCTGATTATTGAAGTAACGAACAAAAAAATAGATGCCACATGGTCGGCACACTAATCAACTCACTGTTGTTAGTAAAGTTCGTTACCACAAAAAAGACGTCAAAAATGATGACTGTTTTGCGTCGTGACTGACTGTTTGCATTTGCTCTACAGTCTTAAACACATCTGTCTGTTTATAAGAGAGAGAAACTATTCAAATAAAAAACGGAATAGAGTTTCTATTACCGAAAAATTCAGAGTTCTCTGTCGTCAAAAATGCCTACAAAAGCAAGAACAAAAGTAAACATTGAAAAGAAAAGTTGTTTAAAGTAGTGGGTTACTCTGAAGCATTTTTGTGCATTTTTAATAAATTCATTCTTCTCATCACAACGGGCTATGGCTACCATAAAAAACGAACAGAGAGGAGATGTAAGCATGGGCGAAGAAATGCGTTCTCTTTCATAAATATTTACTTGCACAATAAAAAATAACGAGAATATAATCGGTTGCGAGTCATTTCTTCCACTACATCTGATTTCTTTCTATCACTTCAACCCAATCCTTCCGTGCGTCAGAGAGAAGAATAACTGACAAAGAAAAGTAAAAAAATCGAATAATGAAAGATATACAAGCAAGGGTGTGGGTGTGAGTATGTGTTAGCAGAAGACCAGCACCCACACCAACCCACACACTCACATCCTTCCCCCTTTATTACAGACATCATAGCAACAGACCGTCACAGACCGTGACAGAAATCATAGTAACAGATCATAACAGACCTAAGCGACGAATCGTCCGCCAATGTGATAGAAATTATAGTATCATTCTCCTCTCTGTGATTACACATAGTGATAGACGGTTTGACGAGTTTGCCGTTTACTAGAGAAGTAGCTCGATCGTGTTTCACATTTTTAATCCTGTTAGGGATTGTGCTAACAGTTTTTTATCTACACGAGAGGCGCAGGTTATTTGTTAGAACGGCTTCATCATCAGTCTGTCACTACCTTCACATATCAGAAATGATTCAATGAAAGTACCTATCTCACAAAGATATAGTTTACCACCAAATATAAGTAAAGACTCGTTTATCCGTCATTTTTATGATTTTATTGATATTGATAAAAACATCCTGTTCACATCGATTATTATATAATAAAGTACTCCTCAGAGGTCCAAATATGGCAGGATGATCACTCAAGATACTTATTGGAAATCAAATTCCTTGTCATCCTGAAGAAATCGTGAGCACAAATTTCCGTAGTTAGTATTATTTATTTCTCATGTTTCTTGATTTTTGTTAATTCAATAGAGTCGATATTCTTTTTTTTTCTGTTGTAGATTCACAACTGATTGAATGTTGTTCCTTCCTTCATTCCGATATTTTGAGTGACATTGTGATCTACTGTGGGAATTTCATTCAAAATATTCTTGAAAAAGAGAGTAGATATCTTTCAAAAAACGACTGCATTAACAGTATTTTAATTTTATCTACATATCATCAGTGTTCAGTTTGTAAATTTTTAATTGGTTATACAACTTTTTAACATATCCGGATACTTGTAAAATTTTCAATACCTAGAGATACCATCAACTCTGAACAAGGATTGAGTTCGAAATTTAGATTATTTGTACCTTCGCGCTGCAGCGCGTTTTTCAAGTTCAACTAAAGAAAAGTATTCCTTTTGGATACAGACAGCCATAATCGCTTTCACCTTTAATTATACAAGGCCTTAAAAGAGAATTTACTTTTTAGATGAATTGGAAATAAGTTTCTTATATTTTGGCTGATTAGAAGTGCCCTTGGTAGTTAACAATTTTTGTTCTACCTTTAGTTTAACATGCTTTCAACTAAAAAGAAATGCGACACCTATGTTTAATGGACAGCTGAAAATTTTCGTTTATTTTTCAACTAGAGACTTTGTACTATAGTCATGCAGACTGAATTCATTGGCTTATAGGAAATTTTATGAAGATTACTGTTTTCTGTATTGTACCGTTACTATGATATTGACGTGAAAAAAAAGACAGGCCTAGACAGGCAGGCAGGCTAGGAGGGATGTAAGCCTGTCTCAGACCAGCCAGGCCTTCAAAAAGTGGGCCTGTTTGGACCTCTGGTACTCCTAGTATTTTTGTCTTTGAATTATCGGATTTTCTACATCACATACATATACGATCAACAAATTTCTCAGTCGCACTTAATTCAACTCGTGAAATAACACAACATAAAGTTGTTTTATCTGATTATATAATAAGTATTAGTTCCTTTTTCTTGAATAATAAATTATGAAGAGTAAACTTCTCAATATATAATAGAAATCATCAAAATGTTCTTAGTATAACATGAGTTCTTTTTAACGATAATAAATATTTGAACATTCTCAACGTCACATACAATATGAATTGTATTAGAATAAAATTGCTTAGATCTTATGATTGCAAAGAAATAAAGTAAATTAACTTTCGAACAGAAGCAATAGTTTTACATAAATAGAAATAACTCATTTTGATGATGAGAAAAAAATGAATTAGATTAGAAAAAATCGATCCAAAACAGATAATAAACAATTTAATTTTGATTATTGAAGATTCCAAAAGTTTTTCCTCTGCAAAACCTTCTATGCTACATTTTTCTAGCATGTAGCCCTTTTGAGTTTTGAACATGGTCTTTATGGTTAACATAAGCACGTATTCTAACGACAAAAAATCTCAATATCACTCTTTTATGTTTTGCAGGCTCAGTCATCAGAATCTATGAGCAATGTCATTCGTTAGTGACATGATTTTACAAAATAAAAATGCTTACGTTTCTAGAGTTAAGCATTTCATTTAGCTTATTTTTATGTAACAGATGTGTGTTGAGTTAGTATAGAAGGGCTTTTTAGGCTACAAAACATCTATGTGAAGTTCTTCCTGAACATATTTAGATTTTTCAGAAAATTGAGCCCCTATTCTGTGTTAGGCAACATGAATGAGAAGTTCAAAAACTAATTCTAAATGGTATGAATTCTTCTTGCATATTACAAGTCGATAACAAAACAAACAGTCTAGTTCTGGTAAACCAGGTTTAGCGAGACAATTTTCTACAGCATGATCTTCTAAAAATTTCACCATAGATATAGTTTATCGTATGAAGTCTATCCGGAAATTCTCGAACTTTTCCATGATAAGGTTAGAGAGTTATTCCACATATATTAATTGGAAAAGTACTTGTTCAAAAAAAAAATAAACCATATAAAGAATTACAGGTGGTCATGTCTCGTTTTCACTGATTTTGTCCATATACTCATTTGAATGATATATAATAAAATGAGACATTACTTTCACATAAGACACTTCGAATTACTTTATGACTTTTAGTATTTCAATTTCGACATTGTCATTTACAGACGAAAATCTTGCTTAGAGAAATGTCTTATACTCTCTTAGCAAACTGTTCCAAACAACAAATTTCTATGATTTTAACTTGTACTTTCTTTTTTTTTAAACATTTGTATTATTGCATGAAGTATCAACGGCATCAACATCAGTAGCAACAGTGGATTATATAAAGAAAAAAAAAAGAAAAGGAGAACGAGAGAAATGCATGGCGATCATGACGAAGCATTTTTTTTTCCATTACACGTCGTCTATTTGGAGTATAAAAGGTAACGTCGACGTGCTCATTATAAGCATTACAATTTTTACTGACACTTACATAGCAACATACTTCGTCGTTTTTTTTTCATACAGCTGTTACTAATCTATACAAGATAAATATGGTTAAAGTACACGTTGTTTATTGTGGTGGATGAGGTTACGGGAGCAAGTTTCAGAAGTTCAGAGATGAACTGAAGAAAGCTTGCTCCGATGTAGAACTCGATATTGTAAGTTATGATTTATTTATTTTACATTAAATTTGATTGAAAAATAAGTTAATTTTAGACAGGTGAATCAACACCTGGAGTCTCGGGATTTTTCGAGGTTACCGTTGATGGAAAATTAGTTCATTCAAAAAAAGTAATTATATATTTTCGAATGAAAATTGATTAAATGATCAATTTATAGGATGGTGATGGATTTCCAGATACGAAGGATAAGATGGATAAGATCGTGAAAGCGATCCAAGCAGCTAAATAATTGAATCGAACTAATTTTTCAAATAAATACAAGATGAGCAATGCTGGTATGTTAAAACTTGAACACAAAAAGAAAAATATTGTATCTTACTTTTGTTTGTTTTAGAATGTCATCTTGAGATGATTGATTGGAACTGTCAACTATCAAAAATGACGTGTTGTATGATCAAATTTTCAAAGTCTTCAACACTGATCCAGTCGATGATTATGATAATTACATTTCAATCATCTATGCAATTTTACATTCACATTTCGGACTCCCGTTTTTTTCCTTGCTTCAATTTTTCAAATATTTTATATACGCTCAAGAAAATAAAAGACTGCTATGATAAGATAATCAAGCATTAAAATTGTATTAAACCTTTGCTTTAAGAGTCTTCCTCTCAAAAAACTAGACATTCGTCAAGTTAAAAAAAAAA